GAATCAGCCATATTTCTAAGAGGTGGGTTCCTGTTGATGGAAAATGGTTTTTAGAGATGCAATCAGGATTCTGGAGGTGCTCATTGCTAGTAGTAGTAGGTTGACCATTGTTTCTAGGCCTTTCCAGTGGAAAGAACTAGAAAATGTATGCTTTTAAACCATAAAACACATTATGAATTAGTATTGCTACTCAGATTTATTTTCAGGACTACAGCATTTTTACCTCATTGATCTTACAGTTGTATCTACTCTCACCCAAGCTGAAAATTCCAGTTCTCAATGACACCAATATATGCATATTCTTGCTTTACCCCACACTACATACATGACGGTTTCAGAATACTAATACCAGTACTACTATAACAATATGATTCCTGAATCAGTAGATGCAAACAAAACCAGTTAGAAGATATAATGGAATAGAAGACCGTGTGTCTGATAGCTAAAAACAAAATACCTCAGTGTAAACTTAACAAGAAATGTTCAAAATCAGTATTAGGAAAATTATTAAACACTTATAAAGGTACAAAATTAGATTTAAACAATTGGAAAGGTAAATGATAGTCACACAGAAAATATCATAAATATCTTAGGTATTTCTATGCTTATTTAAATATTTAATGTAATCCCTGTGAAAATCTCATCACATTTTTCCTAGAGCTAGACAAATTGGTTATATATTTGTTTAGAATAAACATGCAAGAATAGCTAGAAAATGCCTCAAAAGAAGAGCAACGGTATTGTAATAACACACAACCTCTAAAATTTAAATAGTTTGGTGTTAATGAATAAGCATAAGAATGGAAAAAATAGAAAATTCAAAGGCATAACTAGTTGCATATGAATAATATATGATAAAAGTGGTATCTCTTATTAGTAAGTAAAGGATGGAACTTTTAATAAATGGTGTTAGGGTAGCTGGGTAGTTGTACGCAAAGAGATAAAATTGAAGCCACTCCTTGTTACTACATATGTACTACATAACAGGACAAATTCTTTTTTTTTTTTTTTTTTTTTTGAGACGGAATCTTGCTCTTTCGTTCAGGCTGGAGTGCAGTGGCGTGATCTTGGCTCACTGCAAGCTCCGCCTCCCGGGTTCATGCCATTCTCCTGCCTTAGCCTCCTGAGTAGCTGGGACTACAGGCACCCACCACCACGCCCAGCTAATTTTTTTGTATTTTTTTAGTAGAGATGGGATTTCACTGTGTTAGCCAGGATGGTCTCGATCTCCTAACATTGTGATCCACCCACCTCAGCCTCCCAAAGTGCTGGGATTACAGGTGTGAGCCACTGCACCTGGCCAATAACAGGAAAAATTCTAAGTGGATGAGAAATTTATGTGTAAAAGGTAAAACATCTAAAATATTGGAGGGAAAAAGCCCTGGGTGAATTAATCTATAACCAGGATTGGAGAGGACTCTCTAGATTATACTTGAAAATCCAAAAGTAAAAAGTAAAAGAACTGCCACTTGTGATTACATGAAAACAAATGCTTGACATTTGATCCGTGTGAGTTATCTTAAGCCCATTTTGCAGATAAGAAAAACAGATTCAGAGAGATTTTAGTATGTTGCCCAAATTTATACAGTTAGTAAATGGCAGAGATGGAATCTGAACATGTGGCAATTGTAACTCATTGCACACTGAGCCACCTAAATTTTTGTTCACATTAAGTACACAGAAAAAGCAGAAAATAAACATTTTCCAGACTCTACTCACAATGGGCAATATAATCATTTGTTGTTGTCATTGTTGTTGTTTGTTTGAGAGAGTCTCGCTGGGTCACCTAGGCTGGAGATGAGTGGTGTGATCATAGTTCGCTGTAACCTCAAACTTCTGGGCTCATGCAATCTTCCTGGGCTCATGCAATCTTCCTGGGCTCATGCAATCTTCCTGGGCTCATGCAATCTTCCTGGGCTCATGCAATCTTCCTGGGCTCATGCAATCTTCCTGCCTCAGATCTTCCTGGGCTCATGCAATCTTCCTGGGCTCATGCAATCTTCCTGCCTCAGCCTCTGGAGTAGCCAAGACCACAGGCATGCGTCACCACACCTGGCCAATTTTAAAATTTTTAGTAGAGGTGGGGTTTTGCTATATTGCTCAGGCTGGTCTCGAACTCCTGACCTCAAGAGATGCCCTGCCTCCACCTCCCAAAGTGCTGGGATTATAGGCATGAGCCACTGGACCCAGGCTAAAATCTTATTAATATTGCCAGGCAAGGTCCCCTCCATTCGATTTAGACTTAATGTAAAAGAAGAATTACAGAAGAGCTTTAAAAGGCATGAGACTCTGGGGAGAAAGGAAGACTTTGGTATATTTTGAAGACAAAACTAAAATGTAGTATGATATAACATGTAAATTTATACCTCTTAATTTTTATTCTCTTGGTCAGAAACTCTTTGTGATATCACACCTGCACCCTCATCTAATTCTTGCTCAGAAACACCATATCAACCCTAAGAATCCGGTTTTAAGTACATGAAAGTTGAAAGATTCTTCAGATCTTTTATTTTAATTTATTATCAGCAAAGACAATGGCTTGGCCAAGTCATTTTAATAGGAACAGTTCAACTGGTTGCTGGGCTCCTAAAGGCAGGAGGTGCCAAGTGACTGAAGGCTTCACTTCTCAGGGGGCGTCTGGTGTTCGCACAAACTAAGCAATTAGTTACAACATTTACTTCCTGCTTTTCCCATCATCTAATTTGTTCATGTTTTAATTCTTCAATCCATTGCAAGGTATCTCATGGTTCGGCAACAAATACTGAATTTCTCTTTCTGTTCCCTCAAGAAAACTTTGAAAGCCGATTACACTTTCTGTCCATTAGGGGCATGGTTAATTATTGGCTTGTGAGAGCAATGCAATCCATTCATTGATTTTGCAGAGATTAATTAAGCACCCACTAATGTGCCAGACATTGTTCTTGGTGTTAGAGATACAGGGAGGACAAGGCAGACAAGTTTTTGCTCTTGAGGATCTTACATTTCATAGGAGGAGACAAAGAAACAACCGCAAAGCCAGGTAATATCACAGAGTGATTTGTTCAGTAAATAAAACATTAAACACAGTGATGTGATAGGGGCTGGGGCAGGGAACTTCCTTAGCTACAATGATCAGAAAAGTCCCTGACTAAAGTTCAGGCCACATGAAGACCCAGGGGGATTGATGTCCAGGCAGAAGGAACAAGTGCGAAGGCCTAGAGGCAGGAATGCACTTGGGGTATAAGAGGAAGAGAAAAAGCACAGTAGTTGGAGGACAGCAAACTATACTGAAATATAACTGACTTCCAAGTATTTGAGGATTTGCCCGTTTGTTTGTTAGTTTGTTCATTTATACTCTGCCTTGTTCCAAAAAGGATTTATAATAGCCCTTTGAATGTTGCTGTTCCTTACAGTGCCTATAGATTTGAGAAAAATAAAAGCGAGTTCTCTAGCAGGTAAAGTCTAAACAATATCTAAGATGGAGCATTAGGACAATCCATGCAAGATGCTTACTTTTTCTTTTGAAGACTCACACACCTTGAAATGTTATATAAGAAATTATTTCTAAAGAAAATGGTTGCACTGAATTTCAAATCAGCAGACTCATTCTCTAATTAATCATGGCACATGCTATTTACAAAACTCCTGTTAAAAACAAATTTCTTTTGTACACATTACAAAGAAATGTTACATAAAATTAAGCACCAAGTAATGACTTTAATTTGCAGTTAGTTAATAATACACAGATGATCACGCGGCTGTAAAGGAAGCCGCTTGGGACATTAACAGATAGGCTGGCATGGAGGAATTGGAAACAGGCAGACTGTGAGGCATTGGGCTCAGCTCTGGGTGGAGAATAAAGAGGGCTCAAGAATCGATGGATATTTGATGCTTTGACTTTCAGTAAGAGGCAGATGAAGCCTTTGCTCAGAGAAGTCTGACTGACCTTTAGGGTTTTTCAAATGGTTTGTAAGTTATTTTTTACTTCTTGCCCAGCAAAAAGGCTTTACAAAACTTAATGACATTTTTATTTAGCTGAGATTTACTGAATGACCTTGGCTCAGAAGTACTTTTTGGCTTCGCAAGAAGCTATAATTGTCCCAAGTTCTGTGAGCCACTTTAACTCAGCTGATTTCTTGGTACTTAGTGATCCCAAGCTAAGGGACTCAGACTTTATATTTTGGGAAATGAAAATTAAATAGAGTAAAGCTCTAATATTTGAAGGAAACCAATACTGTATCGCTCTGAAAGTCTGCAGGCTACATAAGTTATCACATAAACAGACACAAAAAAGAAAATGTTTGATCCCACATTGTAGTGAATGGGTGGGAAAACCAATGGCCTCATGGCTTTGTGATTAAAGTTGGTTTAAACCTCAAGAAATGAAGAAGAGTGGTTAGGAGACTGAAAATGGTTTGCCTTTCTCTTATGGAGAAACTTTTCTGATATTTTCTCAATTCTATTTCCTCTCATCCAAAAGCCAGAGTGAGGCAGGGAAAAGGGTGAGCACAATGAGAGAGTCCTGGTGCCCAGCCCTGGGAGAGGACCTCAGTGCCCCAAGACGTAGAGACTCCCGCAGGGCATTCAGGGCTCCCCTAGCTCACAGTGTCTCTTATTTTTCATTTCATGTGTTCACACGCCTCCTTTGTTTTGTAGATGAAATGGTTATCAAAGAACTGTAGACTCCATGGTGACATTTTAGCTTCTTAAACAGGTGACAAACATCCCTGGCATATCTCTAGGTTGGAGATTACATCAGTGCCATCATTACTCCTCTCGGGCATCTATGGCTGGTCTCTGTTTCCCATGGAAGCTGAGTTAAGTCATTCCTCCCATGGAACTGGATGGGAATGAGGAAGTCTGTAAACTTAATCCACAATAAAGTCTCACTGTCATCCTTATTAGGCTTTGGGGCAATACAATAATACACTCACTGAAAGAGGCACACACACCATTACCAGACTAATGATGAGCTGAAGATAAAAAAAAAAACTTACCAAAGCTTCCGAATGGGATTAATCAACAACTCCAAGGCAATATCATGCTGTGCTTATGTTTTCTGCAAATATTGACATTGAAGAATTAAACACGTGGCTAAAAAGGATATCTTTGTCCCTGTGAAAGAAAGTTTCTATGTTACTATTTCAGATCAAAGAGAATGCAGAACAATAGAAGCAAGAAGGATCCCAAATATAGTGTTGCAACTCTCCTCACCTGCAGGAAGGGACAAGCGCGCTGTATATGTGTCTTTGCTGTTTTTGTTTGTTTAACCTCTATTCCATCACCAGCAATAAGAGTAATAATTACATCACACACACACATATTCTCTCTATAGATACAAACACATAAATATACCCATACACATATATATTAATACATACACATAATTTAAGCTGGAAGAAGAGTGATAGAAAAGGACCTCTGTATTTTCCTTTTTTTTTTTTTTAATTTGGAAAGCTATTACAGACTTCTCCAGAAACATTTTGGTACAACAGGGAAGTCTGAACACAGGAGATTTGCAAATGGGGCAACAGTGAAAGTAAGTTCAGGCGATTCAAACAGCATGGAATACAAGGCAGAGAAAGCAGGAATGATTTCTTGAAAGACAAGGCAGAATTGATTCTGGAAACCAGAGATCCCTCACTGAGTAAGTCGTGACTGTTTCAAACAAAATCAGCTGGGAGCTGACCAAGAAGGCAAGTGGTAATGCTTAGATGTGAAGTATTTGTACATATGGTCCCACAATATGAGACATGGATGTATGCTTCCACATAAACTTGTCAGAGCAGCCTGTTTCAGGCAAAAATAGCTCCTTTGGTATTTTCTTGACTACATTCGATGACTTGTTTACTGACCATTTAAGTTAGGGCTTGGAGCATTGTGATAGATTAGATTATCATTTAGCAAATATTCACTCCCTGCCCACCATCCCCAATTCCCGCCCCTCTGTACCTCCATGGAGGCGGTACCTCTGCTTCACTGACGTGGGGTTTGGCACTGTGACTTGCTTGGCTCGATAGAATACTAGTAGACTTGATATAAGCAGAGCCTGCAAATGTGCTTATGTAGATGGGCTGGCCCTTCTTCTGCTTCTGCCATGAGAAGAAATGTCCTGGTTAGCCTGGTGGTCCAAAGAGGGTGAAGAAGACATAAGGAGCACATCTGGACCCAATCTGTAGCTTGAAATCAAGTCCAGCTGAACTGAACCTGGATCAGCCAAACCCAAATATATGAGGGAGAATAGATGATTATTCTGTTAAGCCATGGAGTTTGAGTGTGGTTTGATGTGTACAACATTAGCTGTGGCTAACTGATACCAGCAGAACTGCTGAATGAGTAAGCAAAGGAGGCAAGGAATGCTCATTGCATTGTGCTTATAAGGCACAGTGAGTAAGCGAATGGCAGAGTCTCCAGCAGGGGTGTGCAGAACATGGAAAGTGGGGGCTACCATGTAGAGCACAATAGCATAAGTCTCTGCTGAGCACAGGTAGAGGGTCAGAATTTGGCTGTTTGCAGAACAGCATAGAGTAGTGGCTATTCTGTGTACAACTTTGTATAATCTGATATCCACAAGAGCTCTTGTTTTTGGAGCAAGGAGAGTGTGGTGGTGGTGGTGGTAGTGGTTTGTTTTTGTTTTGCGTAGTTTTGAGATGGGGGCATAGCCATGGAGAGTTGAAGCCATGATCTAACTGAACTGCTGAATGAGCAAGTGAAGGAGGCAAGGAATGCTTATTGCATCGTGCATTATAAGGCACAGTGAATAAGTGAATGGAAAGTTTCATTGAGGCAATATCTTGGTAATATTCTCCTTTCAGTAGGGCTGGGTTGTCTGCTGGGCTAAGTGGGCAGTTGAACAGAGACACCCACCCCACCCTCACCCCCATCCTCCAGAATCATCAAGAAAGTTCTGTGGTTAGTGACAGTGGGAATGAAACTTACCATCTGCAACTGATCCCCTGGACTGGGTAATCACCTGGTAGGTAGAAAGGTAAGGGAGTCTGAAGGAGCTATTTTCAAGAGACATTGTCACCTGGACCCCAACATGGCCACTCTTGTGCATATCAAAGTATGGCACAGAACTAGGGTGAGGATCATTCTTCCCTACTTCTTTGAGGCACCCAGACAGCTCTGGCTCCTTGAAGACTAGCAGGTTAGGGATATGTCACCAGTGTTACAAACACTTCGTTCTTACCATAGGCACCACCAGCTGGTGCTACAATGAGGTTCCCTCCAACCTGGCATGAGTGGAGGATCCAGGAGAGGAAGGTGGAGGGCTGATAAAGGACCTGACTGGCAGGCATGTGAGGAGACGAGACACTCCTTGGGGACTCCCAGGAATTCACTGGGAGGCCTTGGCAGGGATGTTTGAGCAGGGTGGGACAAAAGAAAGAAATTTGGGATAATAATGCTAATGGGAGCTCATTTGAATGCACATGCTGATGAGGCCACAGAGACATCCCAGTTGGTTTATGCATGTGTTGAAAGTTAACTGTAGCTGGCTCAATTCCCACTGTCAATACCCACAGAACTTTGATGGTCCTGGAGGATGGGGTGGGGCGGGTGTCTGTCTCTCTCTTCAACTGCACATTTAGCCCAACAGATAGCCCTACTGGAAGGAGAATATCACCAAGATACTGCCTCAGTGAAACTTCCACTGCATCACTTCAGGATGAAAACTCACAGGCTCATAATAATGTTGCCAGTTTACGTTGGTGAGAGTTACCAAAGACATGTAATTGCTCAAGAGAAGCAGATGTATATTAAGAGAGAGAGAAAGGAAGAAGAAAGAAAAGAAGGGGGGGTAGAGAGAGAGAGAGAGAAATAGAGAAAAGAAAAATCCCAATTAAAGATGTAAAAACTTTGAGATATACAAAGGTTCTTTTCTAACCACTGATAACACCAGTGCCTCTTTTCCCCCCAGATAATATGATATTTAACAGAAAACATAATATATTTATCATCAATGATGTAGAGATCATACCATTTCAGGAACATAGAGATGGAAACGGTCCCTTAATATTCCATGGCCTTGGTATAAAAAGTGAGTCACATCCACTCACAACTCAGGAAATTTCTTGATCTAAGTACATGCTGCACTGCCCACCCCACCCCCAAGATGAGATAATAAATTCCATCTGTTACTCTTTTTAATTTTTTTAAAAAAAGTTTTGGTATCTGTAGAGTTTAAAATACCAGTGGTTTTATGATTCCCAAAGCAGTTGGTGGTCTGAAAAAAGTCTCGCTGTCCCTGGGAAGTCTTCCCAAGAAAGAGAGGTGAAAGATATTACAATTTTAATGTAATAATTGGTCTATATAAGAGAGAAACAGTGATATTTACAACATTGTGAGTGAAAGCTTCTCATTAGAAATTCTCACAGAAGGAACTTAAACAACTTAAGGGAAAGATGGACTATTAATGAAGGAAAACACTTATTCTCCAGTCAGTCATTCACTTATTCATGCAGTAAATATTAGTTGAGTGCCTACTCTGATTGAAGCCTTGAGCACTATGTTTGAGTCTCCCTTCTCAGCTAAAGATGAGAGAAAAGCTCTATATGACAGCCAATCCTCTCATCAATTTAATCTTTCTATTCTTCCAGTTGGTCCAATATCAATGGGAAAAACTGATTTCTGACTATGCAGCTTCTGGGAGCAAAGTCAGATAATAAATATAGTTTGGATCATGAATAGGCCTACCTGGCTCCAGCTTGTTGTGCTGGCTCGACCAGCTCATGAGCTCATTTTCCAGCCCTCCCATGCTTCATACTGGGGAAAATGATCCATGGGCTACCCAAGGTGCATTCCAGTATGTCCAAGGAGCATCCACAAAATCCAGTGTCCTTAAGTAGCAAAGAGAAGTGGAGGAGAAAATCAAAAGATGAGCAGGAAAAGGTAATGTGGTCAGTGGGTCAGTATATCTAGCAGGAATCCTACCATATTTTCAGCTGGGGATCTAAAATAGAATATTTTTTTTCCACACTACACCTGAAAAAAGCGATTTTCTCTGGGATGCAGAACCCCTGAATTCTCTGTATTGGTTTCTATGTCTAAATCTCAAATCCCAAACAGGGTTATCATATATTTAGGAGAATAGCTATGTGCATAAGCTCATGGACATTGAATCCCAGCTCTGTCACTCACTAACTCTATGACCCCTGGGTAAGGTATTTAACTTCTTTGTATTAACTTTATTTATTCACTCAAGTAACACTTACTAAGATCCTACCATGTGTCCAGGTGCCCTGCTAGGCAGTGAAACAAAAGACACAGGATCTCTAACCTCAGAACATAACATACTAGTGAGAGAGACAGCAAAAAAAAAAAAAAAAAAAAAAAAAAAAAAAAAAAAAAAAAAAAAAAAGTGCAACAAATGAAAAACAGGTTTTTTTTTTGATGTGTGAAGTGTTATGAAGAAAACAAACAAGGAGCTGAACTGGAGAAAAAGACATTTTGCATTAGATAAAATAAGAGGAATCTTTACATAGAAGGATCATAATCTTGGGAATAATAATATGTTTATGTGAAAACTGGAATAATAACACAGTCTTCATTGGATCATGGTGAGGCTTAATGGTGAGGCTTAATTAGATGATGCATGCAACACATTTGATTTAGTGCCTGGAGTATAGGAAATGTTCAACAAATGTTTATTATTATTTTTTCTATCCTAGGCTGGACTTAACACATAGACTTAGTACATAGTACTAACACATGGTTTTGTACAAAGTAGGCATTTAATGTGTTGGTGGTGAGTTATGATGACAGTGTGGTGACATGGTGCCACTCCTCCATCCTATCACTATTCATTGTCTCTGGCAGCATCAAAGGGGCTAAAATTGCACTCTTAGGCACATACCTGTGATAGAAAGGGATATATCACCCTCTGGATCCCCAGAGTGGGTCCCTGCAGGACAATATTATTCCAGGCAGAAATCAAGATAACCCTGGTACTGATTTGTGTCTCAGTTGCTCACAGTATAAACAGAAGCCACCAGGGCTGTCCACTCAGCACTTCTTCTCAGGCACAGGAAAAAAAAATATTTCTTTTATAAAAGAAAGATGAAAGAAGGGCATTTTTAGTCTAGTCTGCAGCTCTTTAGAACATAAACTGCTCAGCCCAGGGGAATTGAAATGGATGAAGCATATGCAAAGTCAGATAATGAATGGAGTTTGGGAGGAAAAGATGATAAAAGAAATTGCTTGTTTTTATTTTTCCATCCATAGTGATTGATAGATGAAAAGTGGTCAGTGGTACCAGTCTCACTGATGTTGAACATTTAGGGAAGAGGGCAGCAGTATCTCTGTGATCTCACAATGAATGGAACAGGATTTATTATTTTTAATTTATAAAATAAAATTTCCCATGGATATAAATCATGTGAATTTCTAGGACTACTACTTATTATACATGAGAAGTAAAACTACCACATTTACTGGTCTGCTGGTAGAATTCAGGAGACATACTTCTACCCTTGAGGATGGTATGTTGGTCGAATTATTAATGAGATGAACTATGGAAAGGGGAAAGAACACAGACTGAGGGGTAGACAATGCCTTCTAGTCCTGGGCTGTCACTCACAGACGTGGGCCAGACATTTGTATTCTCTGGGCTTCCTGATTTTTGTGCCATGAAGTGGTTACAGATATGTTGTGATCTAATGAAACTCTGGCCCATGAGGCCTGGGATAAATGAAGTCCTGAGCTGATCATAAGTCCAGGATTCCTTGAAAGCAGTCTGAGGGGATTCTGACAGCATGTCCCATAGTACCTTCAGGTGGCAAATACCACAAGCTTATCTGCAACACACAGAGTGCTGGCAGGAAAGTGCTCCTCACTGTCTGTATCAGCAGTCTGCTTCAGGGCATGCTGTTACCCTCTGTGGGCAAGAAATCTGCAGAGATGCCAGAGACTTCTTGTTCCAGGGGCCTAAGGAGCTTGCTATGAGGTCCAAGTCTTGATTGAGTGTGGGAGATGAGGAGATAGGACAGGTGAGACTCCAGCAGGGTAGAGTTCAAGGGCTGCCCTTCACCTCTCTCTTCACATATGCTGGACACTTACACCTGTACTTGCAGTAGCAGTGCCCTTTTTATGGAGTCCATACAAACAGCGGGGCAAGAGCTCCAGCACTGCGAGCACATTCTGCATGTTCAAGCGCCTTTCTATTGAAATACTTGGAATGAAAAAAGTTTGACTGAATTTGAAATCCATTCTCATTATCAAAAGAAATTTTAACATTTACATCGGTCAAAGAAAATAAAAAAGAAAAGCTCAGATTCTTTAAAGAAAGGTAATTTCAACTGTTGTAAATTTTTGAATGACTGTAAAAAATGGTGTTAAATTTTTTATCACCTACTTGTGAGAACAAAGTTTCTCATCAATGGTGACTATCAAGAATTTGAAGAGATCATTAAAAAGACTTGATCAGGACTTGCTTGTAGCCATTTCAAACATAAAACTTGGTATAAAACAGTTATGTACATGGAAGCAAGCTCAACTGTCTCATTAAAATTCTTGGAAAAGATTTTATTTTGAGCTTTTGCACACATTCACTATTCAATATCCATTTCTAATGCTCTTTATTTTTATTATAATAATAAAGTATAAAGAAAATGTAAATGTTTTCACTTTGTTTATATAGGTGTCCTGAAGTCCCCCCCACCCCTGCCAACTTGTATTAGGCCATTCTTGTGTTGCTATAAAGAAATACCTGAGCCTGGATAATTTATAAAGAAAAGAGGTTTAATTGACTCACAGTTCTGCAGGCTGTACAGGAAGCAAGGCATTGGCATATGTTTGGCTTCTGGGGAGGCCTCAAGGAGCTTTTACTCATGGCAGAAAGCAAAGTGGGAGCAAGAGTGAAGTGGGGAGAGGTGCCACACACTTAAACAACCAGATCTTGCAAGTACTCACTATTGCAAGGAGAACACCAAGCCATGAGGGATCTGCCTCCCACTAGGCCCCACCTCCAACACTGGGTATTACATTTCAGCATGAGATTTGGAAGGGACATCTGAACGATATCACCTCTAGTTCATTTCTGTGTGACTGGTGTACAGATATTATGTCATAGTTTGAGTAAATATCAGGACACACAGATGTTAATGCTGGTCAAAGAATGCTGGCTTTCTTTGACCCAATCCTACAAGTAACTTGGGCCTCCACTCTCCCACCTGTGAAATGACTGGATTAAATTAAATTATTTCAGTTACTCCAATTTCCAAGTTTCTTTTAACCATCCATGTACTTCTATGCATGTCAAGAATTTACTTCTTATGAAGCTTCATCTTAGTAATTGATCAATGATTTTTTGAATAACTGTAATGCAAAATGGTCTTGCTACAAACCAAAGAAACTTGGTATGCATCACCAGATAGTGGAATCGCATAAACTTTGTGATAAAAGCATTTATTAGCAGGAGAAATTTAGCCAGCACCTTGGCTCCAAAGAACTCAACGTGCTATGTTAATGCTACAAGCCTATTTTTTTTCAAGTTAAAGTCCCTGCAAGCATTTCTCTTGCTCCTCTAAGTTTGGAAAAACACATCAATTTGAAGGAAGCCATGGCATAGTAGTTCCCTTCCCTTTGCATTCAGAGGGCATTGATGATATGGCCTGTATTCATGTTGATCACTTTTATATTCCAACATACCTGCCCACTGATTTCCAGCCATCTCTTTCCACCTTTGAAAACAATCATCTCAGATACCTTTTTATCAGCTCATTTGGAGTTAGAATCCTACCTTACTTACCTTCTCCTCCTCAGTTCCCTGCCCCTCTATGGGCAAACACAATTTTTTTAAGTAAGCCAGATATAGTCAACAGTCAAGAGCAGAACAGAGCTCTGATGCAGACCTTAAAATCCACATGCTTTAGGAAGAGGTCTGGGAAAGTATATTTCCGAATATCAGAAAATGTGGAAACAGTAAAGCATTCATTTCAAATGAAAGAATTTAAAATAACTGAGTACACATTACCCTATCAGACATGGACAGCTTTGGCATAGACCATTGAATATGTGAGTGCATAACTCCTAAATGCTTGCAGCTACTCCTAAAATTAGAAATATGTGCAGCCCAGAGAAATTTGAGCAGGAGAAAAAGTGTTATGTACTATGATGCCTCAGACTTGCCCTTTGAGAGATGTGGCCAGTCTTTCTAGGAAGATGAGCATCAAAATCTATGTAAAGAAATGATCTAACATTGTCAGCACATTTGTTCCAGGGATTAGCATCAACATCACACAAAATAGGTAATACAGGGTATAAGCAAAAGTTCAGGGTTTGGCCTTCAGGTGAAGTAGATAAAGCAAAAATCAGGAATTAGTAACGACTTAAAAACAATGAGGTCTCTTGGGTTTCAGCAGGAGCTCAAGTTACATAAATGGACCATTTAGCAAAGATGAAGGACACCATAGAAAACCATAAAATTCAAGAACTCGTAAAATCATAGGAAGAAATCACATTTATTAAGCACCAGATGTAGGGCAGTGTAATAAGTGCTTTCACACCTTGCAAGCTAAGTATGACCATAGCATCATTCCCCTTTCTAATTGATGAGAAGACTAGGACTAATAAAAATGTTAAGAAATTTGTTACAGGTCATACAGCTGGTAAATGATCAATAGCTGCTAAGCTCAGACTTGGTGTTGACTTTAGCCATAAATGTTATGGGTATGTCTATCTCTTGGCTTAATTGAGGGGAAATTCTCCAATATCATAATACCTTCCCTACTGGCTCCATTTAATTCCACAGTTATAGGTAAATTCCTTAAAGTCTTAATGATTTTTTTTTTAAATTTCTGATCTAAATTCAGTCATCCAAGGTGGGGGGCATCTTAAGTAG